CCCCAAAACCCCAAAACCCCAAAACCCCAAAACCCCAATAGTTTTAAAATATTTATTTTCATGGAGGCTAATATTTTGAAGCGTCGGATTTGATCACACAAGAAGAAAGCTGAGAAACGTGAGAAATTCATTAATAATTTATAGGTTTTGGAAGATCCTCTAAAAATGTAAAGGTAAAATTATAGCACAGAGATTTAATCTAGATTAATCTCAAACTGTGATATAGAATTCGTATAAAATAAGAGAAATTCAGGTAGATTCGGACAGAGGTTCTGTTGATAAGAGAGAAAATATATCCAAAATAACACCCAAAGCAATATCTAGAGCTACCCGCAGTTCTTTAGAATTAAAGCCTGCAATGCTTACTAAAATTAGATCAATGAAGACGAATAGGAATAGAAGTTGAACTCAGTTACAAGAGTTTGAGGCTTCTCATAAAGCGAAGATTATTAATAGTCACAGGGGCGTAAGTCCTTGTCTGATTTTATTAATTTGATTTTAATTTTTAGCTTAGTAAAGCTCATTTCTTCTTATTCTGTGTTTCTCAAATCAATCATAATTATCATTTTCCCTAAAATAGTGCTTTTTTTAGGGTTACAGCTCCAAACTCAGACCAAAACGCCAAAATATGCATCTCACTAGTCAATCGAGCAACAATAAGTTAAAAATGTAAGATTCCAAAAACCCTCTAGTACAAATCACTTACTCTAAACCCTCATAATATCTTTAAACCCTTTTATCTCCATTCCTAACCTCCAAAATTGCAATTTTCTCATTTCTAAAATCTAAAAATAAAAATTACAATTTTCTACAAAATCCTACTTCAGCTCCTCAATCTTCTCTCCAACGACTGGAACTATATAGCTCTACTAGCTTAATTTTTCATTACCAAAATGTTATGCCATGTAGGATAAGTACCTCAGGCATCCCAGTTGCTTGATAGGCCTTATTTTGAACTTTATTTAGACCACTCTCCCACACACCTTCTCAAAGAATACGAAAGAACATTAACACTGCACGGAAACAACATGGATCTTTGCCTAGGAATATTTCTCATAAGTAAAATAGTGGCTTATTTTTACTAGAACTAAATCAAAAGAAGTACTTCAAGTGCTTCGACTCTCTCAGGTCCATAAGAAACATAATTTATAAAGAAAAGGAGAATGATTGGACAGTCACAGCTACAACAGTAATTTAATGACCTTCAACATCTATTCATAATCTATAGGCGGCCACAAAGATTGACAGGGAGTCCTAAGTGTAAGTTTTAATATGATAACCTCCTAGTCAAGAAAAAATTCAAAAGACATTCAAACTCAGGTATAATTTCTAATAAAGTTAAACCTAGTGATGGAAGTCACCAGACCACACAAAGGGATCAACAGGATGTTCAACTATAAATAGTACGATTTCCTGATGATAGCTACTAGATGAGAGTATCACACGTCAAACAGTTAGAGAGAACCACAGAATCTTCGAGATTCTAAAGCCAGGTATTTATTCCTACTCATTACTCAGATGAATTTATTGAAGAAGATAAAGTCCGGGATTTCGAAGTTTTGGATAAATAAACTTGCTGAGACAAAAGCCCAAATAGTCTCAATTCGAGAAACAATTTCTAAGATGACAGTGGGGCCTCAGAATTATGAAGCGAATACACAGAATTTTAACTTTGACACTGAAATTACAAAGTCTAAAGACGCTGAGGATGATATCATCTCTGAGCTAGAAAGTAGGCCTAACTTAACACCTCATAGTGGGCTCAGAAACTGGGTTTGAGATTAACCTTAAAAGCCAACTCCGATTCGGCCTCGCCAGGAAAATAATAGACATAAAATGAAATGAGATCATCGATGATAAGGGTACAAAAGAGAGATTTCTTGAGAAAATGGAGATGTTGAAGACAAAAAGAAATCTCCAGAAGAACATCCTGACCAATCGGAATATCTCAAGGTAAGTCCTGATCATACCCTTTAGCATCCAAAACGCTGATAGTATACATCACAAGATTATCAGATTCAAGCCCAAGCATATGACGGATTTTGAATATAGGAAAATGTTAATAAATTCCCGCAGGAATATAAATCTTGAGAGTAATCTCCTCATGTGTGACCAATAGGTAACCACAAAAGAGCCAAGTTCCTTGTCGACAAGAAGGAATACCTCCTTGGATTCTGCGAGAAGCAAAGGCAAGAGAGGAGCCATTTCTTGATAATGTCCAAAACTGTCCAGACTTGGACCAAGTTCCTCCTCCTCAATCAGATATTTAGGGAGACTAAGAAATATATTGAGAAGAGAAATGCTGATAAGAGAAGAGCCATGGCTAAATTCGGAAGCATTGCCATCATTGAAAAGATTCTAGGGAGGTTCCTTAAGAAATACAGAGACTCACGTGTGAGAAGATGCACAAATAAAATCCGCTTCTTTTCAGTCTTCCAGGCTTCAATCTTAAAAGAGAACGCTGAACATAAGTGTAAGGCTATCCTTCTGAAGTTCTTCCAAGATAGGAAGTCCAAGTGTATGATGTTCTACTGTTTCAAGTCTGTTGAAAGGAAAGTCATGATAATTCAAAAGAGATGGAAGTGAAAATCAGAGGTAAATAAAGAAAGAATCCTTTTTTTGAAGTCATATTGGAACAGCGAACTAGTCCAAATCAGCGAGCTTTATGAAAAGAAAGAACCTAAGAATAAAGTAGATAAGAAGATCCTCTCCATTATGTATCAGATCAATTCTATTACGGCGAATAAGCATGGGCAGAAATAAAAAAGAGTCTTTGAGAGATGAAATTCTTAAGGACTTCTACACTGCTTGTATCACAACTTACTATAGCATCTTCAGAATTTGGCATAAGATACATAAGAAGGTCAATACCGATTCCAAAACTGTTAATATACTAAAATAATGCATTCAATGTCAATTTTGATACTGGAGAAGACAACCAAAAGGTAATCTTGGGAAAGTTTATTGTGGGAATGATAACTTTAGTTTGTTCCAAAACTATATTTTATTCATACACTAAATCAAGAAATAGTGATACATTCTTCTCTATAATCTTCTTCCTCGATTGATCGAAGATGAGTAATACCATAAGTGTTTTCTTTCACTCTACTTCTGATTTTATATTTTGTATAGACAGGAGTGCAAAGTTTGCTCAAGCAGAAAACCCAAGAGCTCCGAAGAGTTAATACAATGGAGCTTCTTGAAAGCTTCATTGAATCACAACAACATGTAGCTCATTTTGGCCAAATTGGATATGAGCTCCAGTACAAAGTAAACTTGCTATAAAACCTTTAGATATTCAGAACAGCTGCTGTCACCAACAGACGGACTCAAAGACTAAAGATGTCACTAATAGAGACACTAGGAATGATCAAGCAACTGGAAGGAGAGTATGAGGACCTTTATCCAGAGAATGATTTTAAGTCTGACGACCCTCCTGTGTTCATATTTCTTCCTTCCAGAACTCTTATCAGGAAGATGATAGTTGACGCCATTCTTGAGATCAATATGGAACTAATAAAAGCAGCAACCTAGATTCAACGTGAGATTCTAAGATTGGGGTTTTGGGGTTTTGGGGTTTTGGGGTTTTGGGGTTTTGGGG